TGCCTTATAATCCAATGTGCCTTATAATCCGATGTGCCTTATAATCCGATGTGCCTTATAGTCCGAAAACTATGGTGGCCAAATCTCCTTGAATCACTAAGTATAAGTCCAGTTTTAAGTGAAGCACAACAAACTCCCAACATATCAGAGTGGACCTGGGAGCCATGAGCTTCAGAGAAACCTTCTAAAAAGATAAAATACTTTTTAGCAGCTCAGTCTGTTTCCAGCGCGCGTTTAAAGAAATGAATCCATAAAACCGAGCTCGTCCAAAGCTACAACTGAGAGGATGCATTAAAGTTTTTTTCCAAATTCCCATAAAAATGGACACATTTTAAGGAAATGCACCACGTCCGGTGGTCTTTGAGTGAGGGGGACATGGGGTGCATTTTAAAGCTGAGGTTGATTGCTTTTCTAATGCGCCTGGAGAAATTTATATTCTGTTTACCGAGCGCGGTCTAAACGCACGCAGCGCCTGAACGGCCTGGGGATTACGGCGAGGAAAAGGGCCATTTTTTTAATCACACTGGTCTTAAACAGCTCAGGAAGGAATGGAGGCCTGAGAGTCTCCACCGGGTTGCTCCTCCGAATGTTTAATTCCTCAGCTACACCAACAGGAACCACTTAGCTCCTTTTTATTATTTATTCGTTCAATCTGAAGTTGATTAAAAAAATTTGTTGTTTTTTTTTTGGGGGGGGGGGTGATTGCTGCTAAGTCAAGATCTGTTTTTATCTCATTTGATTTGCCAATTTTTATGTTTTATATAAACATTTTTTTCCTTGATCTTACAGTTAGTTGCAAAAGTGTTCACCCCCTTTGGAAAGTGTCTAGAGGGGTAATTGGGGGGAAGTTGTGTATTTTAATTTGCATAAAAAGCAGTAACTCAAGTAAAGATGAACAAAAAACAAAACATTTGGATAGGTGCTGCTTGTGTCCAACAATTGTTTTGGTGAACCCAAAATTCTGGGTTTGGACCAGACCATTCCAAAACCTTTAACAGGTTCTCCTTAAACCTGTGACCTGTTCTTTACTGGTGCGTTTAGGGTCACGTTGAGGACTCGAAACATTTTCCTTCAAAACGTTTGCTCCGTCCGTCTTTGCTTCAACTCTGATCAGTTTCTCAGTCGCTGCTGAAGAGAAACATCCCCACATCATGATGTCGCCACCGCCATGTTTTACAGTTAGAACTGTGTTCTCAGAACCGTCGGTGATGTTAGGTCTGTACGCTTGTGAATATTTTACTTTATAAATACCCAAATAGTCAGAAATTGGTGTCATGAAGATTTATTTAATCTGCATCTGTAAAAGAATCGAATACGGTCATTTTTGTCAAACCGTTTAAGCTTTTTCCTTCTCGTTGATCTTCATTAATCCTGAGTGTTTACATAAAATCATTATTTATATTCAAATATGTTTAAGTTCCACGCTTTAAGGCAAAACTTGAACAAAACAGAAAGAACGTGGGGGGTGAGTACTTTTGCAGCCCCCTGCATTGGGATCCAACAAAGTTAAGTCCAGTCCTCTGGACCGCTTCTATGTGTTGAAATGTTTCATCCTTCATCCAAAGGACTTCCTCAGTCTGAGGAGCCACAACAAACTCAGACCCACAAGAAGCACACTCCCATAGTGGGCCAACCAGTTTGATGTTGATAAGATGGTTCCTGGAGTCCAGTCCACCCTCTTCAACGTGAACTCCTCTGAGACAGCCATAACCAAAGTGGTTCATAACATCAAAGTTTATGTTCAATAATCCAGGTAACAAATCCAACAAGTTAAGTCAGGTCCTCTGGACCTTATCACCATCCTCTTATCACCATCAAACTGGTTGTCCCACTATGTGAGTGTTGCTACTTGTGAGCCTGAGTTTGTTGTGGCTCCTCAGACTGATGAAGTCCTTTGGATGAAAGACCAAAAGAAGCCGTCCAGAGGACCTGACTTAACTTTGTTGGATTTTTTTTTACCTGGATTATTAAGCATGAACTTTGACTGCACTGGGGTTGTTTATCGTCATATTTTCGTAAATAAAAACAACTTTATCTTGTCAAGGCTGTGATGATAATTCTTCAAGGCACCTTCGATGTGACAAACAGAGCACGCCTTTGCTCTGACGCTCGGCGCCACGGCTGAAATCTGTCTTTGTGCTGATGAAGAGTCGGCCTCTTCAGCACCAACAAGAGGACGAATCAGGAGATAAAAGCTCTAAGACTCGAGGAGCGCTCCCATCGCAGCCTCTCAGCCGTCGACGGCTCTCAGGCCGGGACTCGGATGGAGGGGGACGTCTTGAAGACGGAGACAAGATGCGGAGCTGAACGGGAGCTGACAAAAAAATCTGCTTTTTTAACACAATCGTTGTCGTTTTTTTCTAAAAACGGAAACAAACCCCACTTGTTTCTGTGTATTTGTGTGTTGCATGGTGTGTTATGGTGCAGTGTTGAAACAAGTGTTCTGTCATTTTCTGCAGGGACCCCCAGGGGCCGCTGGAGCAGAGGGCAGACAAGGAGAGAAGGGCGCCAAGGTAAAAAAACAGCTCATGCTTTGCACAGAAGGGTCCTCTCAACTATCCCTCCTAATTATATATTCCAATAAAAGCATAAAAAGATGGTTTATTTTCACAACAGAATATTTTTAAATAATGAATGCAGCTATGAATTTGCAGAATGGGCATAAGATTACCAAAGCATGTAAAATGCATGGGAATATTAAAAAAACATGTTTGTTTGTTGGTCATTTTTAATACAATGCCATACTATCTTTATTCATAAAGCACTTAAAAACAGCAACAAGGCCAACCAAAGTGCGGTACAGCAAAAACAAACAAGCAAAGAACAGGATAAAATGTATAGATCCACAGAGATAAAGACAATAACTAAATGACTAACATTATAGAAAACAGACAAGTTAAAATCAACCCACACAGTGTCAAAAACCCGGGAATAAAAGTGAGTTTTCAAACAAAACTTAAAAACAGTTAGAGAGAGAGCCTCCCTGACATGCAGTGGTAACTCGTTCCACAGTTTTGGACCTGCAACAGAGAAGACCCTGTCACCTCCACCAAATGAGTTCCTGGAACCAATAGAAGCATCTGAGACATATGGCTGCAGCAGATCAGCGAGATAGGAGGGAGCAGAACTGCTCAGAGATTTAAAAACATACAGAAGGATTTTTTGGAAAGTGAACTGGGAGCCAGTGAAGGGAGGAGGCCAGAACAGGAGTAATGTGCACTCTTTTGCCTGTACCAGTTAGAAATCGGGCTGCAGCATTTTGAACCAGTTGTAAACGTGCAATGGAGGTCTGACTGATTCCAAATAGAAGAACACTGCAGTAATCAAGCCTGGATGTTAATAATCAAACCAGTCTAGTGCTGACATGCTAAAACAACAAAACTGTGTTCAGAACATAAATAAATCCCACTGGAACAGAAAACGTAAGGGTCTGAAGTTAAACACATCCTGGCAGCAACTGAATTATTTACTAAAGTTATTTAAGTCAATTCATGGCGTAAAAGTTGGGTCCTCAATTTATTATTGCATTGTCCCTCGTCAGCGAGCGAAGTGTGGAATTCTATTTTAGTGTGTGGCTGCATCTAGACGAAAGAAAGCTTGCTATTGAAAATGGGGTTGCCGCATCAGAATCCAAGATGGCCACCGTATACGTAAGTAAACCGGCCACCTCCATCATTTGAAGAAACTTTGTAGTTTTTGTATTGCTTAAAAAGAGTTTCCTCAAATGATTGAGGTGGCCGAAGATTAGTGCATTTATTCTTGTGCAATCCGTTAGCACTTGGTATATGTGTCAGGGATCAGTCTCAGCTACTACCACACCACAAGTTAGTTTAATATGTGTAAAACTTAGTTATTTTTGTGCATTTTAAGCTGGCTGTGGCAGCTATTTGAGTAAATCAGTTGTAGATGTACGTTCAGAGGTTAATTTCTGCAGGATTGTTTGTTTGTTTGTTTGTTTGTTTGTTTGGTTGGTTGGTTGGTTGGTTGGATGGATGATGGATGGTTGGTTGGTTGGTTGGTTGGTTGGATGGATGGATGGATGGATGGATGGATGGATGGATGGATGGATGG